TTTGAAGACGTCGTCTTACCCTCTTTCGTATACGCTGTCATAACACCTGATACCATACTCCTTGCACACCCCACAAGATTTGCTATTTCCGTAACCGATGCTCCACTTAAACACGCTCCAACTATCATTCCTCTTAGAAACTCTGACAGGTCTGACATTTCAACTTTTCACAGACAGTTCGATCGAAGCATGCAACGCAGGTGACTGCTGTTGTGAGACTGATACCATCTTCCTCACGCTCACTAGGTGGCAGACTTCTGTTGCAAGGTGGCGCGGCTGTACTGCAGGTGTGAAATACGTCATACTTTTCACAGTTGTTTGCATTAATTTTGACCTCCATCTGTATATATATATATATATATATATATATTATTTAATAAATAGTGTTTGTTATATTTTTAAAAGTATTTTAATGCAGTCTGAATAAAGTAAAATAAGTAAATTGTTATAGCTTCATTTGCTAATACTTACATTGTTCATTTTCGTGAACTGTATTCAAATGCAAATCAGCATAAAAGCTTTCGTGGTCATGAAGAAATCCATGAGATCATGCTGAATATTTTTATTCAATACAGTTTCAGCAGCAAAACATCGTATGCTCCAAAATGATAAATGGAGTTTTGAATGTAAAACAATTGTCATAGCCATCAAAATATGTAAGTTGTGCTGCTATTTTATGCCAACATACGGGGGCTAAAAATTCCGTTACAACTATCAAGCAGTCCTGATGGCTAGGTTTTGGTATGTGTATGAATAACTTATTCATACACATTGATTGAATATTGATTTTAAAATCCTGGAATATTTAGCATGCCAACTTGTACAAATAAATTTTTGTCTCTTGCCAATTTCCATTTTCCAATTACAGATGCAGTTACTTATGAAATGCGTGAATGCAGAAGCTGCAAAATAAGCAGATTACTCAGGATATTTAACAATGGTCTAGTAGACTAGAAAATTACTATTGCAGAATTAAGCCTCATGTTAACAGATTGTTTAAGTTTACACTGAAATTTCAGCTAGTCTTTTAACTTAGAGCTACTAATCTGGATTTTAAAGCAACAGGATTTTAATAAAATTTTGATCGAAAGGTTTAGGTGAGGATTTAAGCTTACTCTTTATACTATCTTTTCGATGTATTTGCATACATTCTATTGTAAGGGAGTTAACATATCCAAAATATTGCAAACTACCGGATGTCCTAAAATAGACTGACAGTTTTCAAAAAATTATAAGAGGGAAAGGGTTAAGGCAAGTTCTTGCAGAAAATTCATGTGACAAGGCATTTGGTTTTTGTTAAAAAATTTCCAAAAGATGGTGCAGCATATAATAAACATGTAAATCAAAGAAAATTAACTAAAAGTCAAATTGCAATTTTTAGAATTTTGTTTTAATTAATGGAAATTATATTACAATATTTTCGAAATTCCAACCATCAGTCGTAATCGGAGGACGAAATTAGCAGATATTTTCTTTAAAGTGGTCGATGGAATGGATGCACATTCGTCACTCATTATTTCTTCAAGTTTCTCAAGTATTCGAGGATTTTTTAGGTAAATTGCATCTTTCAAGCAACCTCGAAAGGAAGAAATCTCATGAATTCAAGTCTGGTGAATAAGGTGGGCACTCTATACCATTTCTTATGAAGCATGGGTAATTTAAAGCAATTAACACGATTATTAAAATATATTCCTCTAAGAAACTGAAAACTGCAGCAGTTCGGTTCTGAAGTCACTGTATCACATACAGAAAAGGGTCCAATTGTACTTCTTCTGAAAACAGCTGAACATGCAATCACTTTTTGAGTAAGTATAGAGTGTTTGTGGAATACACACATGAGAGTTTTCTCAGTTCTTCAAATTCGCCAATTTTTCTCATTGACGTTACAAGGTATTTCTCCGGCCTTCTTAGTATGCTTTCGTTGTGTAGTGTTCAGCACGCTCTCCGTGTATTCAAGAGGCCCGTGATTCGAGTTCCGGCGAAGGCGTTGCTCATTTTTCATCTCTCCTGCTTTCAAAAAATACCTAATGTTTCTACAACGTATTCATCGGTTTGGAAATGGGCGTCACCTGAAAACAATATAAATTTCCCATCAGTACTGCCACCATCGATCATTTAATTCACAAACATGATCCTTTTATTTACTGATACGGTCTGAAGCGTTTTCTGTGTTTGAATTTTGTACGGAAACAAGGCCAGTCACTTGAGCATTATCTTATGCGCCGCCATTTCGCTCAACTGACATGCGGCTGCAGTTTTTCGGACTGATTTTCCATTGTTTCCTCAATGACCTGTACATTTGTTTCTGTAATAGCCGGCAGGTATCGTCCAGTAGTTCCAACTTTCTCATCCCCAACACTAGCTGTTCGTTTGAATTTCTTGTACAATAATTTTAATGTATTCAGCTGCGGACCATTAACGATTTGGAATTTGAACTAAAAGCATCTTCTTGTTGCTATAATACTCTTAATACTCTCCTCCAGTCGATGGAATTCGAAAGCAAAAGAAATTCCTTTCCTCCAACGAATACATCATTTTCAACACTTTCCTACAGAATCTGCTGTTCAGCTTTCTACCGCTCGTCCGGTCAGGGATAGAGCGTTTTTTAAGTCAAAATATCACCCCCTTTTATAGATGCGTATTTTGATGACTTGTGTACATCATACCTCGAAAGAACGGTAGAAAGAACTGGCAGCACCATCTGTTGGAAATGTTTTTAATGAAAGCCAGGAACCCTTGGAGGAAACATTTATACCATGTCTCATGAGTCTGCTGCAAGAATCGTTTTTTAACCTTTTAAATAAATTTAATTTTATAAACTTAATAATAATGTTATAAATTGCCATCAGTCTATTTTTAGGACACTCGATATTATTAGCTTAAGAAATAGGCTAAAATGCTTTTAAAAATTTAGTCTGGAATTTTACTCTCAGTTGGATATATTCCGTGTAACCAATAAAATACCTTATTAAATATCTGGAATAGATTTTCACAATAAAAGGGGGAACACATAATTTTATCCAGAAGACCTCTCCTTCGTTGTTACGAGATGTCAGAGAGAACTTAAATTTGAAATAGTACCTTTCTTGGAAATAATTCAATCTGGAAAAGTTTCGTTACATTTTTACTTCGTATTTACACCATAGTGTTAGTGCTATTCTCCTATGGATCATGTTAACTTGTTGGCTGCGTGTGAATGCTATTACTTTTATTAACATTCATTACGTTTTAAATGGCTTAAGACTGAGAAACATATTCAAATGAAGTCTGAGTTTTTATGTGGAATTTTACTTTTGGTGTTGGTTCTATTTTCAGAAATACTTAAGCGAATAATTTGGAGTATATGTAACTACTAATATATAATAAACTATGCTTATTGCCCCTGGTTTTCTTTCTAGACTTTGGCAGCCGTTACTTTCTTTACGTGTTTTAAATTGGTCCATATTGCCTGCAAAAATCCAACACATCTGTGAAAATGTTTCAAAAAATTGTGTTTCATTGTTTAGAAAGGGAAAACTAGCAATTCCTTTATTAGAAAAATAAATTATACAGCTGCTAATAGACAGCCTCACTTCAAAGTGTAAATATGCTTTTTCTGAGTTATTAAATACTGAAAAGTGATAATGGTGCTTAGAAGGTATTAAGGTGAATTGCGTTAATGTAATTGTCAAGTGCAATATGTTTTACTTCGTGTCACTATGTATTAGCGTAAAATGGAAGGCCTCGAATTGAATAACAGTTGTCCAAATTCTTAGTTTGATGCACAGGTTAACTATTAAGTAAGGGAAGTTTGAAATTATTATTATAAAAACTGTTTCTTTGCGGAAATGATATTTATGCTAATTATTACAAATTGCATTCTTCTGTAGGAATCGATAGACAACAAACTCAATACAAAAAAATCTAATAGTCAGAAACTAACAAGTGGCATTAATAAATCATTTTCTATCTTGTCTAGAGTAAATCCTAATTTACAAAATGTTATAATTCTGATAAAGGAATGTGAAATAAATAAAAATCTATATACTATTATCTTTTTTCAAAATTTGATATTAAAGGTTTCTTTTCAGTGTTGCCAACAAATGGGCCAGTTATAGAAGGTATAGATCCACCTTACCAAATTGATGATATAGTCAATATCTCATGCACATCGGGGCCATCAAAACCAACAGCTCATATGAAATGGTATATTAACGACAGGGAGGTAAGTTCTCCCATGTGAATTCCTAAAAATGTTTAATCCTTTTATCTTATACGTATATTTAGTTTATACTGCATGGATACGAATGTTAATATCCTACATATTATAACTAATTTTGTATAATTTATGTAGATTATGCGTAGACAATTTTTAATTTTTTTCACACATTAGTATTCAAAATGTATAATCAGCTTTCTCAACATTCAGTATAAAGTTTAATACAATTCAGTATAAAGTGTCATTCAGTGCACTTTTCTTGCAGTGGCTATATTTAGAACAGACAGGTCTGATAACAACACCGAAAAAAATTATCATGTCAAAACGAATCTTAAAAATATTAATGTTCTATTAGGTACAACGTTTTTAAAACCTAGATTGATGTAACGTTAAATATATATAGAAAAAAGGTTGATTCTCTAGACACAGATGCGTCTGATTTATCAATTTAATTCTTAAATGATATCGGTTTTGAGTTAATTCAGGTTCACGTTTGGTCTGGTAGAGGATTTTTATACATATGGGCAAGATTCGAGATGAATACTGTAAGGAAATAGGAAATATGTGAGTGATAGCTCAACAAATTATTTAACAACCCAAAAGGCCTACTGTGATACTGACTCTATCACTTTATTTTCGTATCATTTTGGAACAAAAATGTATGCATCCTTTAAAAAAATATTCTGACTAAAGCCATTATTCAAGCAAAATCGAGATTTATAAAATCTGTTAGTTATAGAGCTAAAAGTATGTGCTCATTATGAAAAGGAAAACATATTTTTTTTATCCACAAATTCCTATAGTTCATTAATCAACTAATCTTTAACTTTATTCCTTACGTATCACGCAAAGATCTGGATAGGAAGACATTATTCCTATAGAATTAACAATGTACGTATTTATATGTTTTAAATAAATTTTCTGTTCTATTTTTACCTTTTATTATTAAATTAAAATATGTTTAGAAGTTCCTGTTTTTAATTGTATTTGTTTATTTCTATTTTATTTTACTATTTTAATAAAAATGTATAAGCATAAAGTCTAAAATATTTTTATGAGTTAATTTTTATAATTTGATTTGTCTATTTCCCTTTTATTTCACTTTTTTAACAAAAAATATATAATCCTCAAATCTAGAATTTTGACATTTTTCTCATCAAAGCTCTTTCTTGCGTTTTCTAGATTTAGCATGTAAAACGAGATACTTGCACAAATTTGTAAATAATGAGTAATAGCTTCCCATTACGTATTCAAACATTAAAGCTAATATAATTTATAAAAACCACTGAATTTTTTCTTCAATTTTATATTAGTAAATTTATTCTAAAGTATCAATTTTATGTATCGGGTTCATTTTAAAAACCAAATAAATACATAACTAAATAAAGCAATAATTTGGAAAGATTTTTGTTTTCCACGTTAATTAAAATAGTCTCTTTAAATGCTTAAAACAGCCCATTTGAATGCTAACAACGATAAATAAGATGAGCTTATACTATTTATTTATTACAGTGACGTTTCGTAAAACTTGCAGTCGAACGATAATATTAATTTTTATCGACCAGTAAACAATTCATTACCTTGTAAATATAATGAAAGAATACTGACTTTCTATTTCTAAATCTTAAAATGTTCTTGTATTTTGAATTGTAAGACATCGCGATTTTTCGTGAGACTAACTTTTACCCTGAAAGTCTAAATACTATGCGATTTCTTTATTTTAGTATCCACCAACATCTGAGAGTAGATATCCACCAATGCGTCATCCCAATGGATTGCAAACAACCAGGATAGGTTTGGAATTTAAAATTGACCGCAGCTATTTTTACAAAGGAGAAATCAAGATCGTATGCGTGAGTTCCATACCGCAGGTGTACTCGAGCACTAGCGAAGAACTGGTGATTGGGGATCGTGGATCATCCATTAATCCTTATCATGGTGAGTGAATAGACGTTTTTTCCTTTCAGGGAACTCCATCAGAAATTGAAATAAATGTATCGGCTACTTCAAGAGTCAATTTGCATGCTAAAAAGGCAAAAGCTACGATAAAAATAACTCCACGATTTTTCATGTTCAGTATGTTATAGAAAAAGGATTCATCTTTTAAATTCCTTTCTTGCAACACAAAATACTGAAACTAATCGAAGTTGAATTAGACTTTTAATTCTAAACTATATCTTCCTTAGGAAGCTTAAATACATGCTATGTGGTCTGACTGTTATTTCAAGATTACACGGCGGGATATTTGAAATTGAGATCTTTGGCAATAATATATTTAATTGTAAGAATCTCATTTTCGTCATTTAAAAGAACATAAAGTCCAAGAAAATGTACGGTGACAAAGTAAGTTAAAAAATACACACATCTTCAATTCGAAAAATGAATTAGATAACGCATCAGACATATATCCCAAGTAGCCGCATAAGATTTGCTTTGCAATGTTTCATTACTTTATTTTATCTAAATATATTAATCTAAGGTAGATTCATCTAATAAAATATAAATTTAATATTAAATACTTTTCATTTATTAAATTTAATTAGTACTCACAATACGTGCTAAATTTTTGTTAAAATAATAAATACTTAAAATATTTTTATAAATATTATAGCAAAATATTTAAAAATGAAACTAAAGTTATTAAGCTATGCGCTTTATATACTTTAAAAAATCCTGTTTCCGAAATCAATGCAAATCACATGTTAGCAATTATTTCACTACTGAAATATGACTTTATTTATTATTTTTGAAGTAAGGACGAATTTATTTGAATTAATAGGCTGACATTATGTGAAACATTTTACCGCATACAGTGCAAAAAGTACAATTTTCGCGAAGATAGGATTTTGGTGAAGCTGTATTCGCAGATAAAAATGTGGCGATTTTAAGAATTCCGAGAAAACGCCCAATGTTAAAAGACGATGCATATTTAACGGCTGTCCAATCTATATGATTTATTAGATTATCTCAAGAAATGAATGTTGGAAATTAGGTTTTATTTTTTTTTTAAATTTAAGTATATTCTATTGCCGTTATGTATGTTTATTAGACTATCTCAATAAATGAATGTTGGAAATTAGGTTTTATTTTTTTTATTAAATTTAAGTATATTCTATTTTCTTCGCTTATATTTTATGTGCTTGTGATAACAAATAAATTCATAATAAAAAGAAACAATGTCATCGTATGCTGTTTAACGAAGAGCTTACTTTAACGTACATAGCTTACTATCCCTACTAAAAATGCCCCATAGAAACCAGTAAAACTTTTTATGGGTACCCATAAGATTTTATGGGTTTTTACTGACTTTTACGGGTTTCTGTTGGTCTCTGTGGGTTTTTTTAACTGGTTTCAAAATGACCCATAGAAACCAGTAAAACTTTCTACTGGTACCTATAGAAATTTTGATGGTCTCTACTGACTTTTACTGGTTTCTATTGATCTCCGTGGGTTTTTCTTACTGGTATCAATTGACACCCATACAACCAACATTTCAATGGCAGAACTTTGTACTGGTTTGTATAGGTTTATATTGACTTTTACTGGTTTTTTCTTACTGGTATCAATATAATAATAAATCTTCTGTTGGTTTATATGGGTTTATGCTATTTTTTTATCTGACGTTAATAGACTTCTTGTAAACAATAAAATTAACAGAATGAAAATATGATTTCTTTACCATCAGAGTAACCTGGAAACGCAGGTGGTCGTTTTAGAGAGGGTTTTTACTAAATATGCTTATTTGTTTGATTTAAATTTTTTTTTCGGAAACAATAACAGTAATCATATACACCAAACACAACGAGGTCTCTCTAAGGCGACCAGCCGCAAATAAAAATTCATATTTGCAAGTGGTCGCCTTAGAGAGGTGATGCTCAATACCAATATATACTCACGTTCTCAGAGATACGTTTATCTTTTAGAGGTGGTCGTCTTAGGGAGATTGCATCTACGGAATGAATCTCTCTAAGGCGACCAGACACACTTGCAGAATTTTCTTTGTGAATGGTCGCCTTACAGAGGGAATATTCAATACCAAAGTATACTTATGTTTTCAGAAATACTGGTTTCTTTCAGAGGCGGTCGTCTTAGGGAGGTGGTTTTTGCTACGAGTTGGTTCTCTGAATACACACACATAAGCACTTACATTTCTGATATTACAAATAAACACCGGTATCAACCAACATCTCTTTAACGCGAACAAGTTCATTCACAATCGCAAAACTTTTCTCCCCTGTTAACGCTGACGTGAAGGAAAAAAATTCCCCTCCCTCCCCCACTCTCAGAAGTTCCTCAAACAAGCAATATGGCAAATTCTTTGAGATGGCGCCGCTCTAGTTATTGTTGTGCGATGGTGGTGTTATTTTCTTCGTGGTTGTAGTAATGCAATATATTATTTACTAGGATTTACTGTATTACAAATTTTACTATGTTTTACTGTTTAGAAATTAGTAATAAATAATAAAATACCAGCACTGACTATGAATATACAACTAAAGCCATGCACGTGTAATCGTGTCTAATGTTTGAGAGAACGTTGCTGATAACTGACTAGTTTTGAAATGGAGTTTTTGTGCGTGGAATTTATGTTCCATCTTTACTTTTAACCTGAAAAACAATGTGCGTAAAGACTGAAAAGTGATAATTTCAGACTTAATATAATAAAATACCAGCACTGACTATGAATATACAACTAAAGCCATGCACGTGTAATCGTGTCTAATGTTTGAGAGAACGTTGCTGATAACTGACTAGTTTTGAAATGGAGTTTTTGTGCGTGGAATTTATGTTCCATCTTTACTTTTAACCTGAAAAACAATGTGCGTAAAGACTGAAAAGTGATAATTTCAGACTTGATAATTTGGTTCAGTGTGCAGATGCAGAAAAATAGTTTTTGCATTCTACTGAAACTGTATTTTGGAAAATTTATTTTTTTGATTACAGTTTAGAAATACTTTTTTAAAGCTTGTTCATGTAGATGCTTTATCATTTGAATATTATGTACTAATAAATTTGAGCATACCTTACTTAAAAATGATCTTGCATGATTCAATTTTTCGACTAATGTGATGTGGCCGAGCAAAAAGAATGTTTTTTTATGTTTTAAAAAATGTACTAATTATATTTCGCGAGCAAAAAAGGTAAGTTTTATTAATGAAATAAACATTGAAATATTTAATGTGTTTATTACTTATTGAATGGGGTAGACAAGACATACAAGCTTAAGGAATCTTTTTTCCACTACTAAAATTATGTGAAAATTTAGATGATCATAGTAGCTTACATTGTTTTTTTCTTTTTGGTCTATTTTTCTTTACAAGTATGAGACTAGAACCACATTTTTACATTAAATATTTTGTGCTATTTTGTTAAAACACATATAATCATTTTTATGCATACTTTAATTTTCATTATTATTAGTTTGATGAAGAAAATTTCAAATGTGTTTTTCATAAATTGCTTTTGAAATAGATTTGTGAATAAGATTTATGTAATATTAAATGTACTAGTCTTGGGAGTATAAAAAGTGAATTATTTATTTGAAAAAAATTACATTAAGTTGAAACCTCATATAGTGGTTATTTTCTTAAATGACCACCTCTGATAATGGCACATTTGTCAGGACAATAATTAAATAACAGGACTTAAAAAATCATTCATAGTTTTGTCAGGCTACAGGAAACTGGCATTATCTCGAATTGTGGAGTTGATTGTTTTAGGAACGTTTTGCTGTATAATCAATTGACTTCGGTGTAGTAATTTTTACGTGGGTATGAATTTTGCAGAAGTAATTGAAAGTTTTTACGAGACAATTAAAACCAAAGCTTTTCGGATCATGAGTCTTATAAGGGCACTGTTATAGCATTGCTTTCAGATATAGTTAGAGTAATATTTAAACATTATTTTCGGAAGCACTTCCACAGAGAATCCGGTTGTTCTCTGCGGATGAAAACCCATATAAATAAATCTTCTGTACAGCCTTATACAAATGCAGTTAAAATTACTGTCATTACAATTAAGCGAATATAGCTACATTTGTTTACAAAAGGTTATTATTGCTAAATACTGCACTATATAAATTTCATTTGCCATTGTAATTTCAGAAAATGCTCAGCATGAGGTATTTTTATAATCTACTGTCAAAAACAATAGCTACCTTTTCAGTACTTTAAATTTTACTATTTAGAATTTTTATGGTTCAAAATAATATTTCTATACATTTTCTAAGTATTCTTTTCTACAATAGAAATCTAAATAACTTACACCTAAAACACTGACTCAAATTTATTCAAATAATGCATCGCTTTAATTAAATTTATGTTTCTTTGAGATGATATATGAAAAACCTTGTGTAATAATAAATTATTAATATATATAGGTAAATGGTATTTTTATATATTTTTTCGGGTAAAGTGCAGAATCGCCCACTTATTTATTTGGCACTTTTTACAAAAGTAAAAGAAATTGGATTTTTGTCAATTTTCTTTTGACTTTTTAAGTGAAAATAGGTCGATGTGTACATGAATAAAGTCAAAGGAGTGCACAATGGCATTTTTGTGCAATTCTGGTATGTTTTTTTAAGTGAAAATAGGTCGATGTGTACATGGATACCGAGTATGTGCAATTCTTAAAAACACGCCAAGCAGTGGGCGATTCTACACTTTCCCCATTTTTCTATAGGAATTTAGTTTCATTAAATTAGTTTTATTAGTATAATTATGTGTATATGAGTATATTCATACTTATTCACATAGATGGAATTTTTACAGTACGAAAGTTGATCTTTTGAGTTGACTTTTTTACAGTTCGAAAATTGATCACCAAGAACTACATATAGTATCAATACCCATTATGTTATAGATTTTATTTATATAAAATCTGTGGAAGATTATATAGCACTAAAAGTGAGATACGGAATAAAACATTATACGCTATGA